GCCACTTGCTGCCCCCTTTCTCCCCTTCTCGTGGTTGTCTTACTCCTGGCCCCTTTGCCTGTCAGTTTCAGGGTTTTGGCCCCTCTTGTAATATGGGGAGGGAGACAGAGGTAGTCATCAGCCCCCTCTGCAGGCCCTCCTTGTTGGCAATGCATGGACTCCAAAGCTGTCTTCTGTCATCTTTGCCTGCCCAACAGACAAGCTCAGGTTCTCAGCCAGAGGCTGTTAGGAGGCCCAATAGGGATGAGGGAGCTTAGGAGAAAGAAGTTGACAGCAGAAGGAAGTTCCTGGGTAGAATAATAACATGCTACATTCCAGCCACAGCCCTCTACTGAGCCTCCCCCAAGCACTTTGCACATGCAGTACAGACCAGCTGCCTGGGGGGCCTCTGGGGTCTAAACCCCCACTCACAGGGACTGCTATGCTCATGCAGGCGGGGGCATGGTGGTGTCTGTGTAATTAAAAATGAGCATGCATGGCTTCACCCAGAGAGGAAATGCCTCCACCTCGGGTGGGGTGCAACAGCTGTTTGTCGGCTGTTTGGCTTCCCTGCTGACCAGCCCAGCTGTGGAGGGACGGGGTGAGGATGGGGGACTGTTCAGCTCAGGGCAGGTGTGGGAAACCCAGGGGCCCTTACCCTGAGGCAGGAGATGAAGGACTATGGTGGAGGTGGAGTTGATGGTCCAGTAGACCTCATCCGTTTCTGGGCCCAGAACTTGTTCACTGGTACAGATGTATGACCCAGTCCTTGGTCCAGACTCCTTGCCTCTTCCCTCCCCTCCTTGGGGATTGAGACCACCTAGCTCTGGGCAGCCTGGGAATGAGATCTGCAGTTAGTGTCCAGTCCGAGCCAGATCTCATCTATCACTGCCCACTCCCAGTGAAGCTAGGGCACAGGCCCGTACTCTGAGAGCAAGCTCGGCTCTCCTCTCGTGCCTCCTCTTCTTCCGATTCTGTAATACCGGCTGGTAGAGGTCCTGTGAGGAGCCTGTGGCTCAGCATACTAATGTGACCCCTTTACAGAGCCTTGAGCTGAGTAGGCTGAATGCTGGCCCTGCCCCCACCTAGGAGGTGAGCCCCATCTGAGGTGAGGAGGTTGTATATTCCCAAGGTGGCGGAGGCAATGGCACAGTGGCAGTCTTATGTGGGGTTGATGAACTGATCTTTCTCTTGTATACCAGCACCCACTGTTGGTGGGGAACGTGCTGGTGGCTAACACCCCTTGGAAGCTCTTGAGTTGTGTCTCATGTCGCCCTTTGCTTCTGTTTGTGCAAGGCCATGGATGGAAGCTTTGGAGGGATGTCTGAGGGATTGGAACTCTTGAGTCCAGCTTTTAGCAGTTCTTCATGTCATCTTGGTATGAGTCACCCTGGCTTCTTCCTGTTAAGTAGGGAGAATTATGGGCATCTGCATCTCCCTCATCTTGGAGGAGACTTATGGTTTCCTTGAGTTAGTGTGTGGGAGTGAATTGTTTCTGGCTTTGGCCATGTCAAATAGCTGATGATTTCAGTGGTCAGAATAGGTTTTCCTGGCCCAGCAGTGTTGCCTCAAACCTCCGGCTACCTGGACTATGGGAGGTGGTGTGCTCAGGGGCTGGGAGGACTCCAAGTCCATTTAGGTTCCTTAGTAGCACCACCCCAGTATGGCATTGAGCTGGTGTCCTTGGCCATCTGTGGTTGGCTCACCAAGGGCTCCCTAGGGCTAGCTGAGGGAGAGGCAGTTGGCCTTACCTTCCTCTGACGATTTTCCAATATTTACTACCTCGCTGACATACTCCCCTGGGGCCACAGCACTTTGTATACAGGGAGGACCCAAAAGGCAGCCATGACGGTCCCTCTGAGGTTGCCCCTGGCTGAGAGAGGACAGACTTGTCCTCTCTGCCAGATCACTCAGTGACTGTCCTCTCATTGTTCATCCCAAACCCATACCAGGCTCACTCTTGTTCAGTGGGCAGAGCATGGAGGGGACAGGAATCTTCTAGAAGGGGATACAGGCACACGTACAAGCTCTTCCATGCCTGTTGGCCTGGATGGGAAGTTTACCCCTTAGCCTTCTGCCTGCCCGTTCTTTGTCACTGAGTCTGTATTTTGATAAGACCCAGCATGTGTTATGATTTGGGGCTGAACTGTCAATGAGATTTTAATTAGCTCCATGCCTGTCTTCATCAGGGGAGCCAGGGACCCCGAGGAGGCAGTGTGGGGAGACTAGGCTTGAGTACAAATCTGTCCCTCCAGGGGCCTAGGAGCAGGCTTGGGCAGCTGATACTGTCTTGTGGGATGCTGTGAGGAGGGAAGGCTGGGCAAGGAAGGAAGGGCTGTGTAGCCAGGCCACGGTTTTTTGTCATTCCTCTGTTCTCCCCGATGGCTTTGAGATGAAGGCAACGGCAAGGATGGAGGATGCAGTTTCCATGGCAACAGGGCTGTCCACAGCCAGGCAACTTCAGACCTGGGCTCTCCGGAAAAGGCAGATGCGCAGAGCAGCCGCAGAGCTGCCTCCCTCCTGCCAACGAGGGGGCTGGCAGAGCAGGTGGCACAGGGTGGCTGCCTAACACTACCCACCCTGATGCCTGGCCTAGAGGAGAGGGTGGAAAGAGCACTACTCCCTCTTATCTTGCTGTTGCCAAGTTCATCAGAATGGAAGCTAAGGGAGGTGGCTTGAGCTGGGCATGTGGTAGAGTGACCCTTGCCCCTGGACTCTGAATGGACACAAGCTCTGATCCCTGGGAGCACACCCCCAAGAGCCAACTGTTTACGACTGCCAAGTGGCCAACTGCCAGACATTGAACTGCTGCCCTTTGGACCCTTTGAATGTCCAGAAATGGGGATGCTGGTGAAAGTCATTCCCTGACTCGACTCAGGGGACCATTTGTTCCCACTGGCCACCAGGGAAGATCCTGGACCTTCTTCAAGATGCCTCCATGACCCTGGCACTGTTGACTGGACCCAGTTTGCTGTGTGCAGTTCAGCAAACAGTCAGATGCTTGCTCTCAACTGCTGGCAGTGGAAGAGCCTTACATTATTTCACTGTCTTACCTGCTCCCTGACTTGAGTACTTCTTGCTTCCTGATGTTCTATTCTTGCTCAGGCTCTCCTGCCAACCAGGGATGGGTAGGTATCCACATACCCACAGAATAGGTAGAAATGTCTAGGCAGCCACAGACAGACATTGTGGTGGCCAGAGATGGGCGGAGCTGGGAGCGACTGGCTCTTTCCCGAGGTTGAAAAGTGCTGTTAAGAAAGCATCTTTTGTATGCTGTACCCCAGACCCTGAAGGACTGTGGGATGGACTCAAGAGATGGAGCCCCAGAGCACCCAGTTTGGCAAAGTGCTTGGCTTCAAACTCTTAAAAATAAGGACCTTCTGTGGGGTCAAACTGATAGCAGCAACTTAAAGATAGGAACCTCAGGAGGCCGGGAGTTTATGTCAGTTGGGGAGGAATAGCTTGGAAAAGGGCTGTGAGAATGGCTGCGCAACTCAATGTAATCAGTGTCACCTGTAGAAACTGCTGAACTAGTGTTATGTGTTGCTGTGTATGTTCTCAACAACAACAAAAATAAATGATAAGAATTAGAACAATGCCTTCCATCACTGACCCTGGAGGTGACAGTACGAGGATACCCCACTCTGCAGTGAACACACAGACACTTAGGACTAGACCTTGACCCAGGCCTTCCACCCCATGTGGCCTCTTGGACTAAAGGTCCTGGCTACAGAAACCTCTCATGCTCACTCCTCCTTCCCTTTTTCCTTGTGGTCTCATTATTTGCCCCTCTTCCCAGACTTTGGTTGGAGGGGGTTCCTCAATCTAGGTTGGGCAGGCAGGCCGGGCAGACAAGTGGAGTCCTGGAGTGGCTTCTCCCGCCAGGCAATAAGTCTCTCATTACTGTTAAGTGGAAGGCTCATTTCAGAGCTCATGGTGAGAGCCGGGTGGGTGTTATAAATAGCCGTGTTGTGAAGGTTGGCGGGTGAGTGGTGACAGGGCAGGGGCCGCACAGTCATCTTAGTGGGTAATTTTGTTCTGTTGCGGGAAAGGGGGGTGTGCTCTGGGCAACAAACTCTTGACCGTTACTCTGTTGCCCCTGCTGGCCCCAGGGCAGCTCTGGCATGCATGTCCCCCTTCCACACACACCAGGGTCAGGAGTATCAGGCTCTGTGTTCAGGCAGAGGGGAGTAGTAAAGTGCTTGTCTCGGGACTTGAGGGCTTCCCTCGACGCCAGTACTTGTACTTCAGCCCACTGGGAGTCAGGGCAATGTCCACAGTTTGACCGCCTTGGCTGGTCTGCCTCTCCAACCTAAGGTTAGCTGCCTCCCCCATGGCCTCTCCAAGGGCTAGCCTGCTGAAATCCATTGGGCCCAAATGCAAGAAGAGGGGAGGATCAGCCACATATTAGAGCTTCTGAAGTTGTTATGAGCCTAGACTGGCAGGGTACTGGGAGCAGACGTGGGGATTTAACTGACTTGGAACTCTTGTCCAGGGTTTGTCAATAGCATGTCTGCAAGGTAGGGGCTAAGAGACCTAGAGATTAGGAGTATTGGCCTCTACTGGCATCGGTTGGTCAATAAGCATTGTCCAGGGTAGAGAGGAGGTCAGAAGTAGAGGTCCTGGGAGAGAAAACTTGACAGATACTTGGCATAGGCACCTGGGATCATAGATAAGAGTTCTTGTCGAGGAGAGCTAAGTTTAATGGCTTTGTGAGACCAGTGCTTTCTGGAACAGCCTTTTGGTCCCAGACAAATGCATAAGTGTTAGCAGTGCCGGTTTCTTGGTCTCACATATGCCTCAGGGAGTTGTTCCAAGGATTCCTGGGTCCTTAGACCACTGCTTCCTCAGTTTGGGGTCCTGCTGTTAAGGTGTTCTGGGTGTTTCCTTAGCAGGGCTTTGGACTTAGGAGCAATTGGGACTGGAGACAGTTGGCTGTTGATAGTTTCTAGGGTTTCTCAGGGACAAGTGGGTTGGAAGTCCTGTAAAATTCACTCTTTCTTTTGCTACCCTCTGACTAGGAGCGGAAGCTGTGTGCCCACCCTTGGCTAGAGATCTATCAGCAAGACCAGATCCATTTCGTGTGTCCACTGGCACGGCAGGGAGACTTTTATGTGCCTGAGGTCAAGGAGACGGATAGGAAAAGTCGGGCACCTATGGAGGCACTGACGGATGGCACAGGTACTGGGGGGCTGGAGGACTGTCAGTGGGGCCTGTCTTGGAGCACTCTCTGGAGCCAGGTTGAGGAGTCCCCTTTCCCGATCTGGCTTGGCACTGTGAGTGCCCACTTTATGTTTGGCAGAGGTGGAAGGAGAATTGCCTATTTTTAGGACCCATGTGCAGTATTTTATGTTGCCAGACACGTGGATCCATGTAGATGTGGACTCGTGGTACCCCCTAGCAACACAGGTAAAATTGGCACTGAATCTGGAAGGTAAAGAGAGAAACAAAGTGCTCTCCTGCCTCCAGCATGGGGTCCTACTCAGGGATAACTGTTTTTGCCATGTAAAATCTAAGAGATATAAGAAGATAGCAGGCAGAGGGGAGCCAGATGGCCTCTAGGAGATCAAACCTCTGCTTCCTCCACTGGAGACTAGCCCACCCTCCTACTGACAACCTTAATACTCTGGATGCAGGCCAGCAGATTTCTTGACTGCTTTCAGCCCCCCTGCCTGCCATTACCATGATCCCAGAAGTGAGGGGACATACATGCTAGTTGCAGGTTACCTAGCCGTTCACCATCCTGGCTTGACTCATGGAGGTTCATGGCCTCTGGGAGTGGTAAGGGCTGGGTGCAGATGGGCTCTTCCCTCTTCTCCTCCTTTAGGAGACTCCCCCTGCCCATCCAGTCTTCCACAGCTAAGGTGACCCGAAAAAGGCATGTGTTGAGGGTAGGAGGTAATGGGAAATAGTCTCTACTCCCTAGGGCCCTTGTCCAACAGAGTTAATTTCATCTGCCACTTAATTACCTCCATGGGGCTGCTCTACCCACCTGGTTATGCCTGGCAGACACTCTTCAGTGCACCCCTACTGTGGGCACAGAACGTGTCACAAGGTCAACTGCCCAGATAGTTCCCCAGGGCAGAAAGAAGGAGAGCTCTGACCTTCCTGCAACTTCTCTCTGCTGCCTGCCACCCCCTCCTCAGCCCACCCACCCAGCTTCCTTCCCTACAAACACTGCCTGCCAGGGGTGTTGAAGGATTGCTTGACACCCATTGCAGCTGGCTGCAGCCACAGCTCCCCACACCCTCAGTTCCTTGGCCTGTCCTCCCCACCAGCCTGCCCGCCCACTCCCTGGCATGGGGGCCCAGAGGTCTGCCCACTTGACAGGGTCTGTCCTGACACCCGGGGCGGGCCTTGGGTGTCTGCCCACCAGGTGCATGCCACTTGTACAGCAGTGTGTGGTAGGTGCCTAGCCTGCCCAAGGTTTGGCCTGTCGCTGCCTGCCTCCCTACTGGGCTCCCGTTGGGCTAGGAGGTGAAAGGCAGTGATTAGCTGCCTTGCGCCTGTTATTACATTGATGTATTATTTAGCTTCGGAGAGGTGATGAATATTTGATCTTGCACTGACTGTGGCAGAGGGGAAAGGAGGGACTGGGGTGAGGGTGACAGCGTCACGTCCCTGCCCCAGCAGCCATGAGGATCGAGGTCCTGCCCTACTTGGTCCAAGTTGAGACACAGGCCCAGGACTCTGGGACCTGCTCCTGGGCAGACATTGGTGGGTGGACTGGAAGAATACTATGTTTCTGTCTGAGGTTCCTTTGCCAGAACTGTCCGCATGTCCTCAGGAGGTGTCGTAGCTAACTGGATCCTGGCCTGTAGGGGGAACCTCTGGGCTCTTGTCTGAGCATTCTTAATTCAGGTGGCTGGCTGGAAGGCTGCCAGGTTTCTGTACCTGGGGTCCCAAGAGAGCTGTTTGGTGGGACATGACAATTTGATGCGGCCAGAGAAAAACTATCCTCCTCTTTTCCTCTGGGCCTGTGTTTCTTGGGACATTGATATTATGTAAGGATTGAGTTTAGGGGCTGGAGTTCTGACCCAGGGCCAGAGTGATCATTTGCAACTCAAGGCTCAGTATGGGCTTCCATATATGTGCGTGTACCTCATGGCATGGCCCCCACCCTGGGAGTCTTTCTCGGGGTCCTTGCAAAAGGAGACCCCTGGGCCAGAAGTTTTGTACTTTCTGGGCTCATGTCACCTCTGCCAGTGGGGCCCAGAGAGGTATCCTTTTAGGATTTAGGGGCTAGAGCAGACCCCAGGGTTTTTTTCCCCACCCTAACCCAAACCTCAGATGAGGCTTAAGGAAGGTTCCAGGGTCCACTCCAAACAGTCCCCAGTTCCTCCTGGCTCAGGGCCCAATCACCATGGAGATGGGAACTGGGGAAGCTGGCCCACTCCTCACCTTCCGTGATGTTCCACAGGAAGGGAGACAGCTTCAGCTTCCTAATCTGGATTCCTACATACAATGAGCCTGAACTCTGCCCTTCCATGTCACTCCCCACTGCCCCAACTAGCATTTAGCACCCTTGAATGGGGGAAATGAGCTGAAGGTGTCTTGGAGCTCTTTAACCACCAGCACAGTGCTCTCATCATCCTCTCCTGCCGACTTTGATATGGGAAACAACCGGGTGGAAGATGCTTCTCTGGTTGACCCAGACAAAAAAGAAACCCTTTCCCTTGCCAGCTCTCTTCATCTAATCACTTACTTCCTTGCATCTGGTTGAACATTTGCTAGGATTTGACCCACCTCTGTACCAGCCACCTCAAGTGAGGGCTCAGAGACCCCCTCTGTTGGACCAGGGCCATAGGCCATCTGACTTCCTGGACATGGCTGTACCTCTGGGATCCCAGTAGGGGGAGAGTCAGGCATAGGCCTGCTGTCCTCACACTTTTTATGGGCAATGTTCTGTGTAAGCTGGCCTTGGGCTAACCGTCCTCCAAGCCTGAAATGGAAGGGAGGGGGGATTCTACTTGGGCCTCTTTGTTTATCCTCTACCCGGCACCTCAGGGCTGAGTGGCCCTTAATGGACTGGGGTGGAGGAGGCAGGGCTTTGTGGGTGTGCAGGGAGCTGAGGCTAATTCGGGCCGTGGAGAAAAGTGAACGACAAGCTACCCTCTCTCTCCCTCTTTTCTCCCTTGTCTGTTCTTCCCAGTCAGGGCAGAGGGCAGAGGGCAGCTGGAATGAGCCTCCTGAGCCGGTCAGCTTTATTATTCATGAGCTGACTTGAGCTGAGTTGCTGGCCTGGTGGGAGAGCCTCTGCCCTTCTCCCAGAAGGAGGATGGGGGCCCTGGCTCCTGTTAACCTGTGCTCCCTCACTTAGCTACAGGAGCTGACACAAGTGACTCGAGTTCTGTAAGCCTGGAGGTGGGGCCCAGTAGCCGGAAGACTTCAGCTGCCACACTATCCCCTGGGACAAGCAGCCACGGAGGCTGGGATGATGGTGATACCCGCAGCGAGCACAGCTATAGCGAGTCGGGCGCCAGTGGCTCATCCTTTGAGGAGCTGGATCTGGAGGGCGATGGACCCCTGGGGGAGCCATGCCTGGACCCTGAGGAAGAGCACCTAGGGGCTGACAAGTGGCCTCGAGAGCCCAGTACCCCTGAGAAGGGTGAGGAGTGATCCAGCACCCGAAGATGCTAAGGAACTAAGCAGACTCTCCAGCCCTCTTCCTCCTTCACCCCTGTGGGCCTGGACCAGGCCTCTAGTTAAGCCTTCTCTTTACTGCCCCCTTGGAAATCAGGGCCAAAGGAGCCAAGGACTATTTTCTGCACCAGGCCCCAAGGCCTGTTGTTCCCTTTGTCTTTTTTTTTCAGACTCCCATGGAACTTTTAAGGACCCAGAATAAAACAAATGATTTTCTTGTTTCACCTGGATCTGTGCTGTGCATTTGTTTGTTTGCTCTACGTTGGGGAGCCCTGTGCAGATAACCTGGAGGAGGCAGGAGCCCCCCCTTAAGGAGAAAAAGGAATATGGCCAGATGCAGGGAGTAGGGGAGAAGGCGTACTCCATTCTCCTACTCTGTGTCCCCCATTAATAGCTGTTCCTCCATTGCAGCAGTCCCAAGTACTGCTGGAAAACAGGTGGGTTGTAATCTGAGTGGGGGGTGTCCTCTGGCCTTAGGAGTGGGGAGCTCAAAGTTTACCTTTGCGTGCTTCCAGGGGATGCCTTTGTGTCTGGCGTAGTGTTACTGTACTCACTGATGCCTCCCCAGCAGGTGAGGGTGTTCCCTTTTTTACCTGTCAGGACCATGTACTAACATGTGATGTATGCACATGCCTTCCATTCAGTGCGTGTTACCATGTTTGGAGCTGCTGTTTGGGTGTGCCTGAGCTCAAGCAGGATGTGATTGTGGCTGGCCATGGTATCTGTATGGATGGCTGCATGGCCGTGCAACTGTGTGTGTGTGTTGCTGTGCTTTCAGTGTATAACTGGTCATGTTATAGAAGTGTGTAAACCTGGCAAGCTGAGAGCATCTCTCTGTAGGGGCTGTGTCTATACAGCTGCCGATTTATGGCTGTTTTCATGTGTAAAACTCTAAAGCTGTGCGTCCATGAATACAGCTGTGTATTTGTCCACATATATAGTTGTACATGTATGCCCACACATCTGGCTATGTATTGTTGTATCCATGTTTTCAACTGTGTATGCGGTTGTATGATTAATGTATACAGTTATGTGTGTAAGATTAGGTCAGTATTCTTGTCTGTGTGCACAGCTTGGAATTGTGTGTGTAACTATGTGCTATGGTAGTATTGTACAGCCCTGGGTCTTTTGCGAGGATGTTTTAGTGAGTGGGCTGGGAGTGTGGCTGTGTCTTCTATGTGGCTCCTCTTACCTTAGCACCCTCCTGCTGTCAACTTCTTTGCTGCTGGGGCCTGGCCCATCACTCAACCTACCCCAGGGAAGAGCAGCCAGTGGCAAGCCAGAGCTGAAAGACTGTGTCTGTCTCCCCAGCCTCGTCTGACAGCTCTGAACCCTCATCCTGCTGCCACGTCAACTCCCATTAGCAATCGGGTTGTTTGTTTGGGTTTGATGTGACTGGTTTGTTTCAAAGCTGTTCTTTCCAGAGCAGTGGGGCATTGGGTTTCTGTGTCCAGGGGAAAAGCCTGTTTTTGGTGACCCACTCTGCCACATGCATATGTGGGTGTGTGTGCCTCAGGGACCTGGGGTTGGCATGTGCTCATTAACACTAGTCTGAGCTAGCCTTGCCTCCACTGTGGTAGAAAGGACAGTGCCAGGGGGCTATGTCAGGATGCTGCACCATCTAAGCACTTGTTAGTGTGTGTGCATGCTGGAGGCCGATAGCACAGACTTGGGCTAGAACTAGATCCAGCTCCCCTTCCCAGATCCTTCAGCACAGCTGGAATACCCACCACCCCCTACCCAGGGGCGTCCTTCCCCATCGCAGTGTAGGAGGGAAGAGTCAAGAGTGTCTTCTCAAAACTGTCCTCCCTCTGCTCAGGCTCCAGCTCCGGTTTCCTCCCACGCAGCAGCCAGTTCCAGGAGCCTTTCCCCAGGCCCTCCTCTTTTATATCCCCTTGCCAACCCAGCATGTCCCTCAAGGTTGACCCTGCTTAGCTCCTGTCACCCCACCACTACTACCACCACCACACAGATAGATTTTTCTTTGCCATGAATACTCTGTACTTAAAAGTAGGGTTGGGGGCAAGCTTGGGAAGTCAGGGCTGGTATGTGTGTTGGGGTGGGGGTGGGATGGGGTAAGCTTTAAAGATTATCTGCGAGAAGAAAGGGAGAGGTCTCTATGCCCACTCCAACCTCTTCCTCAGTGATTCAGGACACAGTTCTCATGTGGAAAGTAGGGACAAAGATACATGCCCCACCATAGCCTTGGTGTATGGAAGGAGCTGCGGTCGTTGGGTGGAGAGGATGGATGTGAGGACAGGGATAGACTCCCGTGGTCTCGGGCTAAGCTCTCACTTACCTCCCATGTGCCCCTCTACTTAATCGCCAGTGTCACCCCTCGACCCTAGGACCAACCCTCTGCTCTCTCAGATGGGAAGCCATAGCACTGTGTGCACCTTCTGGGGCTCAGTGGTCCAGACCTTCCCAGCTGGGTACCCAGTGCCCACTGCTCTACGGGACCGCGGGGCGCAGGGGCCTGAGAGGCACCAGCTCCAGTGCAGAACAGGAGCTCCTGGGGTTTCAGCACCACGCGGTGAACAGCTCCGGGTCTGGCGGCCCCACGAAGAACCAAAGCCAGAAGCGCAGGACGCGGAGCACTAGAGGGGTCGGAAGGGAGGCGGAGGCAGAGTTGGGAGCGGGAGACCCGGAGTGGGGAGGGAGTGAAGGAGGGGCCGGGGCCGGGGGCGGGGCGGCTGCAATTGAAAGCGGCGGGGCGAGCGAGCCGGTAGAGAGCGCAGAGCCGCCGTGCAAGCGAGCGGGAGCCGGAGCCCTGTGCCTCCCGCTCCTCTCTTGTTTCTCTCCGCTCCAGATACGAGCGCACCAGGTAGGGTGAGCCTGTGGTGCCGCAGCCACCACTGACCTTATCCGTACTAAGCCGTGTCCTGGGGGCCCTTGAGTTCCTGGGTGCCCTTGATGGGCTGGGCTGGGGTGTCCAGACGGCGCTCGCTCGGAACCTGGGGAAGCGGGTAGATATCCCCCTGGCGTCCCGCCTTTCTTCCCTAGAGGATGCGCGCCCTGCATCGCACTCCCTCACTCTTCCTGCTTCCCCGACCCTTGGACAGTCCTTCAGTGTCCCGGTCTTTGTCTCCGTCGCAGGTTCGTTTGCCCCCTGCCCACATTTTGTGGCCCTGGCACAGGGGCTGCTTGGTTTTCTGTACCCCTCTGCCCCTCTGAGCTTCCGTGTGGGCCTCCCCCGTGGAAACCTTGCTGTCTTGACTGCTCATCTCAGTCCCTATTACCTCTGTGTTGTGCTTCATCCCTGCGTCTCTCTCCTGTTTGCCTGATTGATCAGCTCCATTCTGTGGGGTCCTCACAGGATCCAACCCCCTGGTTTGGGCTCTTGCAGGAGCGGGAACAGAGTGAGGAGTCCCAGTTTCTATGGCTAGGAATGGAAACCTTGAATTAGTTGCTGCCTTTTTTCAACCTCAGTTTCCTTTTCAATTCTGAGGAAAGATGCGCACCTCTCTCCCATCCTTTCCAAGAGTGATTGTGAGAGTCTGTGTGGGGTCAGTGTCTGGAAAGTCATTGGGGGCATAAATGACTGAAAGCAGTGTGGAAGAGGAAAGGAGGGTGTGTGTCTGAGGGCCAGGCTCAGGCTGGACAGGGTCCTAAGACTGAGAATGGGGAGGTGTCTCTCTGCTTGGTTCTGAGCTGAAGAGAAAACGGAGGCAAAAAAAGTCTCAAACAGAATCCTACATGGAGCTTGTTGAGTAGGTTCTGACTCACAGGGACCCTGTATAGGGTTTCCAAGGAGCAGCTGGTGAATTTGAACCACCAACATTGTGGATCAAATTGACCTTTCGGTCCAATGTTTTATCCCATGGTGCCACACGAAATTTACCTTAACACTGTTTGAGATTCTGACCATGTGACCACTCCCCCAACTCACATCTGCTTGCCCTGTTGACTTAGGACCTGTTGTCACATGGGTGTCCTTTCTAGAGACCAGCCTTCCCGCTTTTTGTTCTCTTATACCTCTTCCCCAACCCCTCCCAGTGCCTCAGTCAGGAATGTCTGGGAATGGCTTTTTAAGAACCAGAAGCTGGGACTCTTGGGTGTTCACTTGGATTTCACCATCTTCATAGGTTGGAAATTATCACTTAGAGATTCTCTCCTCCCTCTTCCCTAGTGGGTCCTTAACCTTGCAATGCTTCCTCTCTGGAAATCCAAAGCTCAGGATAAGGACTGGATGCCCAAGTTTGTAACTGTGACAAGGCCTCTGCTGTAAAGATGGTGACTTTCAATAAGGGCTTGATGTTTGCTAGGGTCTCTCATCCTCATCTGGTTCCTACTCCCTGCTGAGTTTAATAGGGGCACAAGGCTCATCTCAGCCCTAGATCCAGGCAGGGCTAAGCGATTCAAGAGGTGTCCCAGAAGCTACTCCGTCTAGTTAGGGACACCATTCTTTCCCTGTTCCCTGAGTTCTTGGAAAGGTAGTGGGGTGTGTGTGTGGGGGAGGTGCAAGGGTATAGTCAAAAGGGCAATTGCTCTTCATTTCCACTTTTCTGGGTCTATTTGTCTCTCTATTTCTCTGCAGGAGTTGGGCCCCTTCTCATCTCACTTTCTAACTGTTCTTTCCTGGCCCCTTTTCCTGTCCCTGCTTCCCACACACTTTTCCTTTGCTACTCGCATCCCGTGGAGTTCCAGGTCTGCTGGGCCCACCCATCCCCTTCTGGGCCATGGGATCTCTGCTGGGGCTCCTGGCACTGCTGCTGCTGTGGGGCGCTGTAGCTGAGGGCCCAGCCAAGAAGGCACTGACCCTGGAGGGAGATCTAGTGCTGGGTGGGCTGTTTCCAGTGCACCAGAAGGGCGGCCCGGCAGAGGAGTGTGGTCCAGTCAACGAGCACCGTGGCATCCAACGGCTGGAGGCCATGCTTTTCGCTTTGGACCGCATCAACCGCGACCCACACCTGCTGCCCGGTGTGCGCCTGGGCGCACACATCCTCGACAGCTGCTCCAAGGACACACATGCCCTG